CCCCTACTGTCCCCACCAGTGCCCCCACCACTGTCGCACTGTCCCCGCTGTCCCCAGAACTGTTCCCACCACGGTTCCACTCTCCCCACTGTCTCCACGGCCCCAACCACTGCCCGACTATCCCCACTGTCCCCACTGTCCCACTGACTCCTCCGCTGTCCCACTGAGCTGTCCCACTGTTCCCACCACTGTCCCCACTGTCCCCACCACTGTCCCCACTGTACCTCTGTCCCATTGTCCCACCGCCGTCCTCGCCACCGCCTTCACCACTGTCCCCACCACCATTGTACCCTCCACTGTCCCACTGTTTCCACCTCATTCCCATTGTCCCCACACCACTGTCCCCACCACCACCGTCACCACCACTGTCCACTGTCCCCCCCTGTTCCCACCATTGTCCCCACCACTGTCCCCACCACTACCGTCCCCACCACTGTCCCACTGTCCCACTGTCCCCACCACTGTCCCGCTATCCCCTCACCACTGTCCCCACCAACACCGTCCCCACCACTGTCCGCACCCCCACTCGGTTTTCGAAGGGGGGGGGGGTTCGAACCGGTAGTGACCCCCCCCGGTTTCCGATGGGGGGGGGGGGGAGGGGTTCGAACCGGTAGTGACCCCCCCCCCCCCTTTCAAGATGAGCTGGGGGGGGGGGGTCGAACCGGCAGTGACTCCCCCCCGGTTTTCCGGAGGGGGGGGGGGGGGGAAGGGTTCGAACCGGTAGTGACCCCCCCCGGTTTTCCGCCAGCAGCGGTAGAACACGCTCTTTCCAACATCAAGGAGGCGCTCAAGCTCGGGTGGACAGATAGGGCGCGCGCGCAGATATAATGCCCAAAACGCAGCCCCCCTGATCGCAATCATGGCCCAATCGAATCCCTCCGCAAGTTGCGCACCTGGGGCGGCAGCGGATGGCTCTGCAAACCTCCGAGGGGGAACTGCCTGGACGGGAGCTTCTACCATATGCGCAAGTGCTGGCGCGCGTGCTGGGGTCGGGAACTGCTGAGCAATGCGGCTGGGTGCAGCCCAGATCTCCAGCGCACGGCATATCCGCGCAAGCGTTCGCAACGTCGCGTCAGTATTCCAGCCAAGCCGCGTCGGCTCGTGCTGGATGCGCTCGAGCCAATGCTCACGCAGCTCGATAAGCTCAACGTGATGCTGGCCACCCCCCACCGCCCCAGACCAGCTCATTCTCCGCCGCCCCCCCTTCGCCCGGCCGCAACGAAATTTCCCGGTCGCCAAGCGCGAGACTCACGGCCTGCGAGCCGATCGGGAGGCTGGCCGTGCTACTGCGCAGAACACGCGCGTAGCTCGCCAATCCCTGGCTTGCGTTTGGCACGTGGCGGTTCGCAATCGTACAGGCACCCCTTCCCCCGTGCAGTCGCGGGATGATAGCCCTCACGTCTGCGATTATGCGACCTGAACCACTGGCGACTTGGCGTCGCAAGCGTTTGCTGATCACCGTGGCCACCCCTCCAGCATACGTAGATGGCAGACCTATAACCTACATAATCTCCACGACGCTTGTGCAATAGTGTAATCACATCATATGGACTGCAACGCCCCAGCGCATACCTGCATCTGCTTGCGCGAAATAAAAAGCCCCCATGGATCCTGCCAAAGTGGCCATTGGTTTTCCGAATGCATACCGCCACAGCGAAGGGGGACGGACTGTGCGGGACGCCTCGAGCATCTAGAAAAGCCCCAGAGCCCACACTTGGCCTGCCAAGTGATGCAGCCGAACCCCATGTTTTAAAGATATTGAAGCTGGTTATCTACATCTTTCGGCGACTGATCATCACTGGGTGTGGTTAGCTGCGCGCGCCGCAAAACAAAACTCGAGGCCTCCTCATCGCTCAAGTCTTCATGTAGGTTCCCTGTTTAGGCCTGCGCAGGTGCTTCCACACACTGCAGCTGGTCAGAGCCGTTGGCTTCACCTTGAAAGGATGGCGACTAGGGCGCTTTGCACCCCCAGTAAAGAAGACCGGATACAGAAGTTAGAAACAGCAAATTCTTCGGTGGTGTGCTAAATGCTGCCACCCTCCATCTTGTACCGCACGAGCGCGACGGGATCCTCAGGCGTGGCCAACACGAACACCGTGCCTACGAAATCGTTGGGGCAACCCTCGTAGCGGCCTGAAAAGTTTCTGAAATCACCTTCCAGACCATTCCCAAGAGCAGCCGACGGTCTTGACTGGCACACCGCGCCTTGCGATATGGAGCTCCGGAGCGGCACTGTACCCTGCGACTTGCACATGTTGGGGAAGTCCGAGCACGTGACGGCAAATGGAAATTCAACGAGTGCTTTCCGTGACGTGTCAAAGGATTTGATCGTCCCTTTTTCGCGCTCGGTGTGTGAAGCACATAGGTCTCGCACCTGCGTTGCGGCACGGCGAAGGGTTGTCCTGCCGATGAGCGGAGACTTGAAGCCTACGAGAATGAAATGGCACTTACCTTCTTGCCTAGTATCACCACCACCACCACCGCCACCTGTTCGTTTGCACATGGCCTCCATGTTCTTCCCGGTACTGATTACGTTCTGTTAAACGGAACTGGTCGGCGTCGGTGTCTTTTTCCGTTGAGCGGATCTATTTGCAGTCAATAGAAGGCCTAGGCTGTCCTGGCCAGCTGCGTTGACAAGCCAAAATGGTTGAAACAAAATGGATACCGTCGTCTCCTTCCCTTTGGGACCTCCACCCTTCCAGCCACTTCTCACGCCCCCAAAGGGCCTCTAAGATGTATCCAGAAGCCTGCAACTGGCCCCGAAGAGGGGCCCCAACCGACCCAACGGAGCCCATTTTGAACACGGCGGTGGGTTTCTCAGAAGGGCGCACGGCGTCAGGACGCTTCTGCGGCAACGCTCCTGGAAGAGAAGCATCCGGGGCTCAAGGGGTCGGCGGTGCCGCGTAAGCCAACGAATTCTCGAAGATCCCATCCCCACTCAACGACACCCCGACGCCCCTGGTCTCCTCATGACTGATCTCCAGGGCGATTCGCCGCGGCACAGCCCCTCCGTTCCCTTCTTCCCCTCCGAGCCTTTCCCTCCGCTCGGCTCTCATTCCCCCCCCCATCTCTCCTCCCTCTTCGACTTCGCTCCCCTCCCCTCCGCGGACATCCGGCGTCATCGCTTGCCCCAGACGAAGGCCAGTGGAGGTTTAGAAAAAAAACGCCTTCGTGATTGATTCCCTCCCTCCCTTCCTTCCTTCACCCCTCCCCCTTCCTCCGTCGGGGGCCCAATGAGTCCCGGTCGCAACTGGCAGAAAATTTTCGTGCCGCAGCTCCGCAGGAGGGCGCGGAATGTGCCGCAAGGCTGCTCGAGAGCTCATGCTGGAACACAGTCCACGCTCACCTGAGCTGAAGAAACCAGAATATACCGATGCCGTTACTCTCCGGACCTCTCCCGTGATGCGTTCGATCTGGCCCTGGCGACGAAGGGCTCCCGGGAGGCCCCACAGAAGACGGAAACGAGGCAAGGCCACTGGTATCAGTACTTGGTTCTCCCAGACACCCTTCTCTCACAAATGGACCGCTCCGCTCCGCTCCGTTCCTTCGCTGCTCGCATGAGGGGCAATGTCAGGGGGGGACCAGCTCAGAGGGAATGGAAACAGGCGTGGAATCGGCAACACATCGCCGAGAGATCGGCGATAGGCTCCTGAGAGCCAATCCCACAACCCTGCCCCATCGGCGATCAATGGGCGATAGGGAGCCGAAGCATCCCCAACTGCGCCTGCGCGAATGTTCATGGGAGCCGCTGTGGACCTATCATCAGCGGGATTTCGACCGGATTTCCACCAGACTTCGTCAACCCCTCTCCACCCTGTCGTCCAAAATATCGTCCACATCCGAACGGAAGCCCCTAAACCGCTATGAACTTGGGGACCCTCTGAGGCGTCCACGAAGGACCACGCAATTGAGCCTACAGTCAACCCGGATAGTAAGGATGCGCGATAAGGATGCAAGGGCCTTGGACGCCCATTTCGAGGCGTTTCGAGCGGGGAGCGGCCAACGAAAGTGGCCAAGGATGGACCGAGGAGGAAAGGATGCAAGGGTACCCTTGGGAAGGTTGCCAATCCTTACTATACTGGTTGACTGTATCCCCCCGAACGATGCCCCGAGCTCCGCCCGCGCTCCGTCCCACAGGGGCCTCCAAGATGTTGTCCGAGTAGATGGGCTCGGAGGACCGCGCCGCATCGTCCCTGCATCGGCGATGCCTCCACGATGCATCGGCGATGTATCGGCGACGCATCGGCGGCGCATCGGCGACGCCTGCGCGGAGAAAAATCGGGCTCCGCATCGGGCCGCCGCCGACCCCCCTACAATCGGACTTGATCGAGCAGGACCCCGACGGCAGCGGGGCCACGGCACACCCAAGGACACGCGGGCTGCACTAGGCAGGGACAGACAGGACCCCAGGGTACCCCTCGACTTGGCATCATGTCGGGCGTGTCCCCCATACCAGGAGATTTTCGACGAGAAAT